TCCGAGCCCTCAATATTGGATGTGGAGGGCAGTATCTTTAAGGAAATATATTGGGGTGGCAGAAAGTCACTTTTCATATTGAACACATTCACTGGAAAATTTTCAGCATAGGCCTCCAGCTTAAATGGGTTCCCCAAATATCTGTGCTTCACATTTTCAAATCAAATTTATTCAGCCAATTTCTCCAATGGCTCTAGTTGTTCCTTCCTGGGTGTTTTTTCTTTGGTACTATGGTTTCCTTCTTGTTACTTCTCCCTCTTTTCTTCTCTCCCTCTCTCTTGGTTTAATCAGATAGATCATCACAACAAATGTGAACAAAACATGACATTACATAGCCAAAGCTAACTTTATTTGGCTGCATGATAATATCAGTGAAGGCAAGTGAGAGCAGTTGAAAATGAGGACAATTCATCAGCCAACATGATTCTCAAGGGTACTGAAGAACCACTAAGAACTATAGAAAAAAGTTCACATACAAAATATGAGTAGTTTTGTTTAAATTCTAGTTTTCTGGTTCAGGTGAATAATGTATCTTACCTGACATAAGTTTTATCCCTTTGCAATTAAGGAAGCCACAGATAGACTACATAATGTTGTATTAGTGCTGGGAAGGTATGTGTGGGGATTTGTCTTTTTTCTATACACTCTGAAAAAAAAAGCCCTAGAAGGAACCAAGTCCCCAGAGGCAAAAAATATAGTTCGGCACAGAGCTTCTGAGGTACCTTTGAATGGTACAAGAGCTAAGAATACCTCATGAGACAAGGCACCAATCTGATTTACAACTTAATAACTTTCTGTTTCCAGAAATAAAGCAAAGTTGTTATTTAATGGCTGAAATGCTAGCATTTTCTCCAAATGCCAGTAATAATTTAAATTCATGACCTCTGTATTATTCATGGGGTCCAATTTAATATGAACAGTATTTCTGGTGTTCCGTGTTTATGGAGAGTGTGTCTTGAGGGTATAGCCCATTTTATGGCAAACAGATGCTCGATATAACTAGCTGATATTCTGCTGCTGTGAGATGGGAATGAAAAGTAAGTCGTATCATTTTCTCACCTTGGCAGAAGTATGCAGGAGTTTTTGTGTTCTTCACAACTTTCTCAAGCAAGTTAGACAAGGCTGGGATACAAAAATTTAGCCAGCAATACACAAAACCCTGCTTTTCAAGAGCCCAGTTTGAACAAGATCAGAGAAATATATAAGTGATGGTCAAAGGTATGGAAAACAAGTTGCATGAGAAAAGATAGAAGAAACATTTTTCATACATTTCTCCAAGTTTAGTATGGAGAACAGAAGACTGAGAGGGTATGTGATATTCTTCTTCATATATATGAAAGGCTGTTGTACCCAGTAATACAAAGATCAGTTCTTTGCTCTTCCAGAAGGCAGGACAAGCTCTAATAGTCAGGGTACTAGAAGAAAACTAGGGATGCATCTACAATGTAGAAATAATGCAGTTTGACACCACTTTAAATGCCATGACTCCATCCCATGGAATTCTTGAGTTTATAGTTTTACAAGATAGTTAGCCTTCTGCCATAGAATTTACAATTATAAAAAAGAAGAAAAAAATATGAGTTGTGTGGTTTGTACTGATTTGTCCTTAGTCTCTTGATCTCAATCAAGAGAAAGTATTCAGTGCTCAAGCCCTTTCAAAATCAATGGGCTTTAAGCTAATGTTCAATTGTTGTTGTTGTTTTTTTGGTATTTTGGGGGTTGTGAGGCTGTGTTCTAGAAGAATGTATTCCTGATGTTTTGCCTGCGTCTTTATTTCTCTGAAGATGCCAGCAAGAAATGCAGGCGAAATGTCAGGAATACATTCTTCTAGAGTATGGTCTCACAGCCCGAAAAAACCACAAAAACCTATGGATGCTGGCCTTGAAAGCCTTTGACTTCATAATGTTCAGTTGATTTGTGAGTCTTTAGAGTGACCGGTTTTGTTTGAAATAAGGCTTGGAATGTATCTGGACAGGCTCCTTTATATTATTTTTGTATAAATAAAGTTGTGGCTTGTCAGTTGAAAACTGACTAGTTTACTGCTATATACAGTAATTTCTCACCCTGTCTTTAGTAGCTGTCTCCCCATCTAATAGATACATTTAATAATAAAACCTAACAACAGCCAAATTACACAGCAGTCAGAATGTCAAATAAATCTGCTTTGTACATTTATCATAACATTCTGAATGTTCTGTAATTTGGTTGTTAGATTTTATTCCCATATAATATTTTTCCCCTCAAGGAATTAAATTACAAAATCTAGGCATACCCTCAGAGTGAATTGAACTTTGAAGACTCCATTACTTGGAAAATTATTTTTGTGGCAATATTTCTGGTCACATACAATGGTTTCTTGCCAACTTGGGAATTAAATCCTGTGTATTTCACCCAGGTGAACTCTTTCTCTGTTTCACAGACAGACAGACAGACAAAGAGAAAGAGAAAGAGAAAGAGAAAGAGAAAGAGAAAGAGAGAGATTTTCTTCATATTTCAATAGACTAGGTCCTGGGTAAGTGGCAATTCAATGAAGCATCACTCAGGAAGAAGGGATTAAAGCATTGCCTGTAAATTGTAATATAGTGGTCCCTTCCCATATGCGGGGGATCAATTCTGGGACCCCCTCCCCACATAAGGGAAAAAAGTGTATGTTCAAGCCCCATAGAAAGGTAATGGTCACATGCCATTTTGTCCCCCCTGGGCTTGCCGTACGTGTAAGCTCAAAGCTGGGTACAGCAAGCCCACAGGTGGCACGGGTGCACTGTATTACAAATTAGCTAAATGACAGAATTAACATAAAAGGTTTCATCAGCCACATTTACAATTTACAAGTACAAAATCATTGATGTACTTTTGACTTTTAGAGAGTGAGCGAGCAAAGGTTTCAGAATAATTATACAGTTTTGAGGCTGTATGTGGAAACTGGAACATGCTTGATCTCTTTCTGTAATTTCTTTCTACGAAAAGGATCAATTAGAATTGGCCTATGGAAGCAGAATTTCAACACAATGCTAAACCCATTTCAGACCACAGGTAATGGGAGGTGGCACATATGTTTGAATGATCTTCCACGTAGAAGCATTCCTTGCATAAACTGGCATAAACGCACATAGCAAGGATAGAGTAAGCTTCTTCTCACACTTATTTAGATTTTTGTGTGCAACTATCTGAACATGCACACACATGTGGACCAAGTCTGGTTTCCTGAAAGTAGATGTGATTGAATTTATGGGGACTGAATGAGGGCCACAATATCAGTGTTTTGTAATTTGCACTGCACTGGATTAATGAATATCCTAGGGACTGGGAAGTTCTTGTGTTTAGATCCTTCTAATATTGGTTAGTTCTGCCTAGACCTCTTAAATCAACTGTTGAATTCTGAATCAGCTGATTCAGTGGGTTTACTCAAACTAAGGGTGCACCCACACTGTAGAAATAATGCAGTTTGACACCACTTTAACTGTCATGGCTCCATCTTACAGAATCCTGGGATTTGTAGTTTTGTGAGTCACGAGCACTCTTTGATAGAGAAGGCTGAAGATCTTGTAAAACTACAAATCTCAGGATTCCATAAGATGGGACTACAGCACTTAGGGGGGTTGCAGACTGCCAGAAATAGTGCAAATTGAGTCCACTTTTAGGGTTAGTGTTAGTGCTAGGGAATCATGGGAATTGTTTTTTTTCTGGGACGTTGAGCCTTCTCTGGACGTTTTCACACAGGCGGCTCTAAAGCCGCCTGGAAGCCCCCTGGAAGCAATCAAGAGCCATTCCGGCGGCGAAAACAGCAGCCGCCGGAATGGCTCCTGATTGCCTCCGGCAGCAGCCCCTGTAATTCCTTTTTAAAAAAGGAATTACAAAAACGGGGCTAAAGCCGGCTAGCGGCAGGGATGGCGCAGGGATTGCACAAGATGGGGCGGGGCTTGCTGCGACGTCGTGTGAACACGCGTAGCAAGACCCCGGAGTGAGGCAGGGATGGCGCAGGGATGGTGCTGGATGGGGCGGGGCTTGCTGCGACGTCGTGTGAACTTATCCTGCACAGAGCCGGAGTGGGGCCGGACGGAGGTAGGAATGACTCCGTTTAAAGCCCTGTGTGAAAACGTCCTCTGTCAGAAAGTTCTGGTGCCACAATAAACTACAGTCCCCATGATTTTCCAATCCTAACCCTAACCCTAAAAGTGGACTCAATTTGCACTATTTCTGGCAGTCTGCAACCCCCCTTAGTGGTGTCAAACTGCATTATTTCTACAGTGTAGCTGTACCTTAAGACTAAAAACAGGATACAGGCCTGTTTTAAATCACTCTCTAGTTTCAGGGCTGTGGCCTCATTTAATGGTGGAGGAGGAATATCACATGGTTCAAGTACTGACTCTTGC